ACATGGGGGGCTAACGATATAGTAGACTAATATAGATAATTCTCTTCCGAGGGATAAAGTACTCACAATGAACTCCTCGTTTGGAATTTCAGACAATTCCATTGAAAAATGTGGCTGAAATCATCAATATACCGAATATCGGGAGGTACCGTTACATGGGGGATATACGATATCTTGGATAATTCTCTTTCGAGGTATAAAGAACCCACAAGGTACTCCTTGTGTGACAATTCCGTTGAAAAATGTGGGTAAAATCATCAAAATACCGAATATCAGGGGGTACCGTTATATGGGGGCTATACGATATCGTGGACCGATGTAGCCCATCTTCGAACTTGACCTGCCTGCAGACAAAAGAGGGATCTGTGCAAAATTTTATCTTCCTATCTTAATTCGTTTAGACTGTAGCGTGATTACAACAGACCGACAGATGGACTGACATGGCTAAATTGTCGTAGAATTTTACGCTGAACAAGAATATATATATTTTGGGTCTAAAATATTTATTTCGATGAGTTACAAACGGAGTGACGAACTTAATATACCCTCCATACTATGTAAATCGGTGAATAATGTAATTTAAAATCATCAAAATACCGAATATAGGGAGGTATTGTGGCTATACGAAGATGTGGACATGTACAGACAATTTTTTCTCATAGGCTGTAGTATCCATTACGAAAATCATACACCACATTCGAAACAATTCCGGTGAATAATGTCGCTAAAATCATCAAAATACCGACTATTTACTGTTATATGGGGGCAATATGAAGCCGTTGACCTGCACAGACAAATTTCTGTCATAGGCTTTAGTACCCATTACGAACTTCAAATAACAAATTTGAAACATTTCCGGTAAATAATATCGCTAAAATCATCAAAATGCCGAAAAAAGGGAGGTACCATTATATGGGGGCTATACCAAAACGTGGACCTACCTAGCCCATTTTCAGTACCAAAAGTCCTGCAGACATAATACACATTTGAGTAAAATTATATCAACCTACTTCATTTCGTTCGGAAGCTATAGCTATATATTCCACAGACGGATAGATGGATCAAGAATATATCTACTTTGTGGAGTCTAAAATGTATATTTCGAGGTGTGACAAACTTAATATACCCTCCATACTATGGTGGAGGGTATAAAAAAACGGCTCACTGACACAGGTGGAAGTAGAAGCAAATTCGAACTCAAGTGCAGTAGAAATAGCAGAAACATAGCACAGATCTCAGACAAACTAGGAGAGTAATTCACAAAAAGGGTCTGCATGGAAGGACCCCACGCAAGAAGCCACATTCAAATATGAATCAAGACAAGCGGTTGGATTTTGCCCAAAATACCAACTTTTTATGAAAACATATTATACGTCGATGAAAGCATAAACAAAACTTTCGGTGCAAAAGAAAAATACCAAAATTATGGCGTACTTAAGGGGAAGTCATGGTAGAATGAGTAAGGTAAAGCCGTGCAATCATATGTTTACAATATTTTTTCAAAATTTTTGATTTGACAACAACTCATTGTTACAATCTATTACATACACATACATCAGAGAGGGGAACCTGGTTTCTTTGCAATGAAAACATGGTAAATTACAGGAAATGTAGGGATGGATATGCTTATTTGAAACGACTCTACCTTCTCGATTTTACCATGGGAGAAGCCTTCCATGAAAATTGTATTACTAACACAGTTTAATACGGTGGAGGATCAGTTATGCTCTTGGCATGCATGGCTGCGTCAGGTCTTCTGTTATTGATTTTGAAAATATTTTTTTTTACTTTTCAAAACAATAAATACATACACAAAATTGGCAGAAGTCGAGTACACTTAGAAAAAAATTGAAATCAGCTTGTAGCTCTACCTTACCTTTTTATACCCTACACCACAAGGTGGTCAGGGTATTATGTCTTTGTGCATTTGTTTGTAACAAGCAAAAGGAAACGAGATAGACCCATAAGTATGCCAAATTTGATCGGAATCGGTTCAGATACAGCTATAGCTCCCATATATATTGTTCATCCGATTTGTTATATAACAATATTTGGGGAAATATATGAAATACAGCTCAGAAATACATTTGCTAAATTTTATCGAGATCATTTAAGAATTGGATATAGCTCCCACATATAACTTCATCCGATTTATCTTTTATTGTACACCAAACGTCTAATACTTGTCCAAACGGGATGGAATTTGGCACTTACGACCGAATTCAGTCTAGAAGCTAGTGTGTTAATTTGAAGATCGGTTCAGATATAGCTATAGTTCCCATATATACTGTTCATCCGATTTGTTACCCACAGCCGTAATATGCACTCCGTAACAACGATATTCAGGGAAATATATCAAATACAGCTCAGAAATATCATTGCCAAATTTTATGAGGATCGATTCCAATTTGGATATACCTCCCATATATATCTTTATCCGATTTCAAATTAATTGTGCACCAAATTGGCAATACAAGTCCGAATTTAAATTATGCAAATGCTTCAGCATATTTAGTCCTTTGAACTTTAAAATATATTTATATTCATAGCGTGTATGATTGAATTCTCCCATAAAAACTTTTAATTGTTATGCGGAGTTCTACTAAATTAGCAAAGTGGTGTAGGATATCATAAAGTCGGCCCGCCCGATTTTAAGACTTTCTTTACTGGTTTTATATGGTGTAAATATAAAATGTTTACTTTTTAGTCTGTTTAAAATACCAAGTGTAACATTATTTTAAACATGAAAGAAACGGAATTTATAGATGGATTTGATACATTCCTTTACTTCAGCATCTTCTCTTCTTGAACAATTCTCAATCCGGGGCCGTTCGAATAAACGACGATATCGTGTTTCATAAGGGGATATTCATTGTCTAATTTTTTAAAAGGAATTTCTTTGGTGGCAATAAAATGAGGTTAATCAAGTTTTCTTGAAACGGTCTTCCACATTTAAATCATTTATTGCAATTATTGTTATTATTTTTTATACCCTCCACCTTGAAAAAGAGGTCATATTTACTTTGTATATATAAAGTATATATATATATTCATGATCAGGATAAAATTCCAAGTCGATTTAACGATCCGTCGGTTGAAATCACGATACAGCCCACGTTATTTGACGCAGAGCTTCAACATTTGGCTCAATAATTTGTATTGTGTCTAGGATGATTGGTATTGAAAATGAGATATATCCATGGTACAATAAGGAGGTAGAAAAGCTTCGTAAAACTATAGAAATATAGCTCTAAAGCTTTGTCCGCTTCCTGTCAGAATTAATCAAAATTATATGCAAAAAGTTTTGACTTAAATAAAGCGAAAGATGAATGAAGTGCCCGGATTTTACTTCGAAAATATGATCCAGAGTGTCCAATCTTTCAATTTCATATTTGATATTTTGATGACTTTTGCAACATTTTTTCACGGATTTGTCTAAAAATTTGTATTTGTAGTTCATAATGGGTCCTAGCCCGGTGGCAGAAAATCGAATATTTAGTTCCACGATTTCCTATATTTATTTTTTTATACCCTCCACCATACATAGTATGGAGGGTATATTAAGTTCGTCATTCCGTTTGTAACACATCGAAATAATCATTTTAGACCCAACAAAGCATATATTTTCTTTATCAGCGTAAAAATCTAAGACGATGTAGCCCTGTCCTTCCTTCTGTACGTCTTTTGTAATCACGCTACAGTCAAAACGAATTGAAGTAGGATGCTAAAATTTTGCACAGATCTCTCTCTTGCCTGTTCGAAGATAGGCTATATAGGTCCACGATATCGTATAGCCCCCATATAACGGCACTCTCCGATATTCGGTATTTTGATGATTTTCGACACATTTTTCAACGGAATCTTCTGAAATTCTACACAAGGAGTTCCTTGTTCCCCTGGAAGATAATTATCTATACAGGTCCACGATATGATTTTTACCTCCATTTAACGGTACCTTCCTATATTCGGTATTTTGATAATTTTAGCCAAATTTTTCAACTGAATTTCTGAGTACTTTACCACCAGACATAGATTTGTCTATATAGGTACACAATATCGTATATCCCCTCATATATCGGCACCTTATAATATTAAAGTTTTTAACAGAATTTTTAATGGATTTTATTTTCGGAAATTTTTTTAATTTGTTCCAAATGGTGGAGGGTATTCATAGTTCAGCCCTGCCGAACTTACTGCTTTTTTACTTGTTTTTATATAAAAATGATTCCTTTACCCTTAGGTGGAGGGTATTAAAAGTTCGGCCCAGCCGAACTAAATGTTTTTATACTCTCCACCATAGTATGAAGGGTATATTAAGTTTGTCATTCCGTTTGTAACACCTCGAAATATACATTTTAGACCCCACAAAGGATATATATTCTTGATCAGCATAAAATTCTATGTCGATTTAGCGATGTCCGTCCGTCTATCCGTCAGTTGAACTTTTGGTATAGAAAATGGCCCCCATATATATATATTCGGCATTTTGATAATTTTTGCGACAATATTCATCGGAATTGTTTCAAATTTTATGGGTGTACAGCTGGCAAAAAATTTAGATTTATATTCGACCAAAAATTGTATTATTTTCACGCCTTTTAAAGGATACAAAAATTAAGTAAGAATATAATCCAAAACAGACAAATAAGATATTAGTCAAATATGTCATGTAGTGCCATGTTTACAATTTTTAGTTTAGTTTACAATTTTTTCAAATTTATACACTTGACAACATCTCATTGTCAAAATCTATATTCATAAATCCATTGTATACACACAAAATCAGAGATGTGAACTGTTTTTCATGCATTAGAATTTGACAAGGTAAATTACAGAAAATGCAGAGCTGGGAATGCTAATTTGAAATGGGGTTACCATTATTTCCTTGTACCATGCAGCTATTGGAACAGAGCAGTATTTTCAACATCAGTTGTTCCCATTCTACCTTTTTCGTAAAATGGACGAAATGATTTCGTTTAGGGAAGAATAAAATGTAGATATGTATATCGTAAAAAATTATGTATGTATTTTATTTATTTGATTTACAGATTTCTCTATGCATATATTTTTTGTCAACAAGTTTCGAATATGTCTCATTCTGTGAACATAATTTGATCATTTATGGTCTGTTTCAGAAACGCAATAATGTAAAAGTTCTTACTTCGATAACAGATTTTCCCTTTATGATATCGAAAAAAATTGCAGAAATAGTAGGTTTTTTTTGGTTCTGGAACAGGGCATAAGATTATTTGAATGATTTTTTTTAATTACAAATGTTAATGTCATTTTGTTTATCTGCTTAAAATGTTTACATTGCAAATAAGTTCCCATTTATATATGGAAGTCATCAGTAAAACTGGCACGATTATAACGTGGAGCACTGGGATTAACGCGATTGAGGAGACCAAAGCAACCGCGACGATAAATCACCAATGCTCCCAATGTCAAAGGTATGCCGATGAGCACACCCACCAAAAGACTAATCAAAATGACACCATCCTTGCCGGGATGATTGGTATTTTCACAAATCAATTCCTTATTGTCGGTGGAGAGTTGAAGCAATGATTTACCCTTCCAGGCGGGGGGAGTGGCACACAACACCTCAGGAGCCAAGGGTGCGGAGGTGGTGTTAATTTGTTTGATCAACGTATGAATGAGATAACGATTATTGCAATCGCAAGTCCAGGGATTGAAACGCAAGTCGATGGTGGTAATTTGATCCCAACGTTGGAACCAATTACGTTCCACCACGGAGAGGTTATTGTTGTTGAGGTAAAGCTGTAAAGAACGAGTTTAGTAAGATTTGAGGTTAAATAATTCGAAATTAATATACTTACATGTTTCAATGGTGGATAGACAAATATTTCTGGATTGGCAGTGTTCTTGGTAAATGCCAGTTCATGTATCGAAGACAAGTGCGGATTGTCAGAGGCAATTAATGTTGTCATATCTGTGTAAGAGGTAAGAGAACGTTCATTGAATATTGTTTTTTTTTTTTTTTTTAAGTAATTGATGGTACTAACTTGTGAAAACATTCAAGGCCCCTGGTCCAATTTTGGTAGTATCCGGCAAGAAGGCAATACTCAGATATTCCACGGTGTTGAGGTTTTCAGTGAAACTGAAAGTAAAATAATGACGTATTAATTATTTCTAAACGGAAAATAAGATTAAGGGTGGCCAATATGGGACATGTTCAGTGTGGGCGCTCGAGCCCATCCGGAATGGTTATTATTATACCCTCCAGCATTCTATGGAGGGTATATTAGCTTTGTCACTCCGTTTGTTACTTCTCGAAATATTCATAATAGAACCTACAAAGTATATATATTCTGGATCAGCGTCAAATTCTAAGACGATCTAGCGATGTCCGTCTTTCTGTCTCTCTGTCTTTTGTAATAACGCTTTCTTTCGAACGAATTGAGATAGACGGCTAAAATTTTGCATACATGCATAGTTTACCAGTAGGCAGGTTAAGTTCGTAACTGGTTCATGTCGGTCCACGTTTTCGTATAGCCACCATATAATGGTACCTCCCGATATTTACCGGAAACGTTTCAAATTGCGTATTGGAAGATCTAAATGGGTACTACAACCTATGGCAAAAAATTTCGTATGCAGGTCCACGTCTTCGTATAGTCCCCAGGTGACGGTACCTCGCGATACTCGGTATTTTGATGATTTTTGCGACATATTTCACCTGAATTGTAAGAAATTTCGTATTTAAAGTTCTCAATGGGTAATACGGCTATCAAAAAAAAAAAAAAAAAAAAAATCGTAAGCAGGTCCACGTCTTCGAATAGTCCCAATATAACGATTTTCATTCAAGTGGTGGTTTTCGGATTTTTTCTTTTTTTGAAAAATTTCAAGTTCTTTTCAAATGATGGAGGGTATTAAAAGTTCGGCTCGGCTGAACTTGGTTGCTTTTTTACTGGTTTTCCTTTTTGAAGTATCTTTATATATAAACGAGAATAAACGCCCAGACGAAACGGCTGGCGCTATAATCTTCAAATTTTGACTAGGGACAGTCTTGGTGCGTATGCGTGTGATGGAAATTCGTACTAAAAGTATATGAAAGGTACTAAAATGTACTAAAAAGTGATGAGTTGGTATTGGACAAACGAAATGAGCTAGAATTTGGAATGAGAGTCACCGGTGGGGTGCAGAATAGATGTATCAAAGGGTTTTTGGAAATTCCGGCTTTATGGTTACGAAAATTCTAAAATGGCACTAAACTTCTAACAGGGTAGCATTTGGTATTATGTGAACGGATAGAGCTAAAATCTTGAAATTTGGTATAAGAATCAAAATTGGAAAGTACGTTTGATATATTAAGGTGGTTTTTTAAATGTGTACTAAGTGTGCGAACTCTACTAAATGGTACTATATTTGGAATAGTTAGGTTTAGGGCGAACGAATGAAGCTGAAGTTTTGAGATTTTGTATTCGGGTCCCTGTTGGTGGTTGGTTTGTGATAATGAGGTGGTTTTGGAAATGGCTACTGTAAATGCACGAAAAGTACTAAACAGTACTTTTGGTACATTTTGGAATTGAGTGAACAGATAGTGCTCCAAATCTGAAATTTGTTATTATGGGGGATGAGCTTCGGAAATGTGTACTATAATTGTATGAAAAGTACTGAGTGGTACTATATTTGATATTGGGCGGAGGGATAGAGATACAATTCTGAAATTTGATATTTATGTTACTGATGGTATGTTGTTTTTGAGATTTGACGGTGGTTTGAATATGCGTCGTATATTTTTACGAAAAGTTCTAAATGGTACTAAATTTTGTATTAGGCGAAGAAATAGGGCTGGAACCCCACAAATTTGATATTGAGGTCTCTGTTGGTATTTGGAATTTAGATTTGGAGGTGGTTTTGGAAATGTGTACTATAATTGTAAGAAAAGTACTCAATGGTACTAAAATTTGTATTGGGTGAAGGAAAAGGTTGGAACACTCAAATTCGATATTGAGGTCTCTGTTGATATCCGCAATTGAGATATGGAGGTGGTTTGGAAATATGTACTATAATTGTATGTATTGGATATGAGGTAAAGGGATAGAGACATTTAGATTACTGGTGGTATCTGTGTTTTGGAAATACGTCTTATATTTGTATAAAAAGTACTAAATGGTACCAAATTTGGTATTTGGCGAAGGTATAAGGTTGCAACCCTCAAATCTGATATTGAGGTCTCTGTTGGATTCTGAAATTAAGATATGGAGGTGGCTTTGGAAATGTGTATCATAATTACACAAAAGAACTAAATATTACTAAATTTGGTATTGGGTGAAAGAACAGAGCTGAAATCTTGAAAATTGATATAAAGGTCGGTATTGGAATCTGAGGTTGAGGTACGGAAATTGTTTTGAAAATGCTACTAAATTTCGTATTAGGTGAAGGGATACTGCTGGAATCCTGAAATTTGATATGGATGCCACAGTTGGTGTCTGTGGTTGAGTGAAATACCGAATGTAGCCGTCATATTAGGGTCTATACTACGACGTGGACCTGCACAGATAATTTTCTGTCATAGGCTGTATAGTCCATTACGAATTTCAAATACCAAATTGGAAACCATTCCGGTGAATAATGTCGCTTAAATCACCAAAATACTGAAAATAGGGAGGTATATGGGAGCTATACCAAAACGTGGGCCTAAAATCATCAAAATACAGAATATCTAGAGGTACCGTTATATGGGGCTATACGAAGACGTGAACCTACATGGCCCATTTTCTGTCTTAGGCTGTAGTATTCATTACGAACTTCAAGTGCCAAATTTGAAACATTTCCGGTGAATAATGTCGCTTAAATCACCAAAATACTGAAAATAGGGAGGTATATGGGAGCTATACCAAAACGTGTACCTACAGGGCTCATTTTCAATACCAAAAGTCCTGCAGACATAGTATACATTTGAGTAAAGTTTTATCAACCTATTTAATTTCGTTCGAAAGCTAGAGTGATTTCCACAGATGGACTAAAGGATAGACGGACAGAAATCGCTAAATCGACACAGAATTTTATGCTGATCAAGAATATATATACTTTGAGGGGTCTAAAACGTATGTTTCGAGGTGTTACAAACGGAATGACAAACTTAATATACCCTCAACTATGAACTGTTGGAACGAATCTAATTTTTTTAAGTGGATTTATCGCTGACCAAGTAGCGGGCATTGCTAGTTTTGTATATTTTACAGAGAAAAGTAATTTTTGGCCAGTTGAACAGTGTGGGTTAGAGTATCGTTATTTTGGAAAAGTCGGGAAATACAGTTTACAGGGCTTGACAAAATGGTGGGTCGGTATATGCCATCACAAAATTGTAGTTCAATTCACTCAGACATTGCCAGATCGCCTTAGAATTTTATTCTGATCAAGAATATGTATGTATGTATGACCGATTGGGAAACATGTATATTTATGAAGAGTATGAGAACAATACTTACTTTCCTTTAACGATATCTCCGAAAAGATTTTCATCCAGTACCAATTTTTTGAGATTTTTTACCCATTTCAAGGCCACGGGAATTTCACGGAATAAATTACCAGACAGCAATAGGGTTTCCAATTTATTCGGACTGTGGAAAATGGTTTCGGGCAGATCGGACAATTCCATGAAAGACATATCCAAGGTCTAAAACAAAACGTAATCACATCAAAACTTTTGCTCCAACCAAAAAACCGCCACTTCCCCAAAACTTACCTTAACCGATGACAAACTGGCCAAGGCCACCAACGTTGGGGTGTCAATAACTTGGAAAACATTTTCACATAAAATCAAAATTTCCAAATTGGGCAAATGTTCAAACAGATCGCCGTGCAGTGAATGCAATTCATTGTGGGCCAAATCCAATTCAATCAGGGAGTTTAGCGGTTCATATTTATCCGTTGCATAGGGACCCTTAAAGACATCCGGTTGTAGGGCTGTCTTGGTCAAATTGTTATGCGACAAATCGAGTTTTGCCAATTTCGTTAGATTTTGGAATGCTCCCAAGGTAATGTTATTGATTTGATTGAAACTTAAATACAAATTCTCAACGGGATATGATGGCAGACTGGGTATATGAGTGATGCTGTTGTTGTTCAGCTTGATGGTTGTAAAAATCACATCACCATTCAGCAGAGTGTCCCATTCCTCCTGGCTGAATAGTGTATTCATCGATTTGCCGCTGCAATCGATTTGGAAATATTCCAGATCACAATGGCATTTGCTCTTACATAATGGACTGTCGGCAATTTTTATTTTTGGCTGGAAGAAGAAAAGGAAACAAACAATGGATATTTTATTTAAAGCATACTTTGGGGAGTTAATTAAAACTTCTCTTGGGATTAGGGCAATCGCTACGAATGGTTGTTTGCTGCTGGTTGAGGTCAATTGCTATGAAGGAAAATTGATTTTACCCCATTTTAAAGCATACTTTTAGGCACTTAGAAATTAATAAAAATTATTTTAGAAGAAAGTAAAGCCATAAACAAATGAAGATATAGCCAACGAAATGCCGCTTATCTTCCAAAAAAAAAGTATCAGCAAATGTCGTCTATATGGTATCCGGGGTTTGAGTGGGAATATGGAAGTCACTCAATTCTAATACGTTAAAAATAACAAAAACTGTAGGATATTTGTCAGGTGAAAATTGTTCCATAATAAAAGAAATGTGAAAAGTCGTCATCATTTGTCTATGAATAAATACGAATAAATGATGGAGGGTATAAAAACGTAAAAATTATTTTCTCTATATTTTCTTTTCGAAATTCTTACAAATATTTGATTGTAATCTAAAGTAACGTGGTAATCCGTACCAAAATTATGTTTATATAAAAAATCTCTGCCCGGCTTAACCCTGATAATTGACCAAACACAATAAATCTCACCATATAAACCTTTAAATTTATTGTGATTGGTCAATTATCAGGGTAAATCCGGGTGGAGATTTTTTATGTAAACGTACTTTTATTGTGCACCAAACGTTTAATATTAACCCGAAATACATGGAATTAGGCCTCAAAATATACAACCAAATTAGGCCTCAAAATAAGTATGCCAAATTTGATCGAAATCGGTTCAGATATAGCTATAGCTCCCATATATATTGTTCATCCGATTTGTTATTTTTGTCCTCCGCAGCCGTAATATGCACTCCATAACAACGATATTCAGGGAAATATATCAAATACAACTCAGAAATATCTTTGCCAAATTTTATCAAGATCTGTTCAGATTTGGATATAGCTCCCATATATATCTTTATCCGATTTCAAATTAATTGTGTACCAAATGGGCAATACAAGTCCGAATTTAAGAGATACAAATGCTTCGGCATATTTAGTCCATTGAACTTTAAATTATAATTATAATCCTAGCGTGTATGATTGAATTCTCCCATAAAAACTTTTAATTGTTATGCCGAGCTCTACTAAATTAGCAATCAGGTATCATAAAGTCGGCCCCGCCCGACTTTAAGACTTTCTTTACTGGTTTTTTACTTGTTAATATTTTAGATATCAGTAACAAAAGTATTTTAACTTAATCCCTTTTGAACGGCACGAGCTAAATCGGATATTATGTCTATCTTTGTACATACATCGAGTGGGAGGTCTTTAACCCTCAAACGAGTCAAGAAAGGATTCTTTTTGGTCCTTTTTTAAGATATGGCTTAAAACTTAATTTAAACGGAAACTTAACAAGTCAAAATATTTTTCAAAATTGTTTGTCATAAAATTCTACTAATAGTGCTAGAAGTCGTCAAACCCCTAAGTAGTACCGAAGCGCCAGGAATTCATATATATTAACAAGTTAAAAAGCAGTAAGTTCGACCGGGCCCAACTTTGAATACCCACCAGCATTTGGAACGAATTTTGAAATTTTATCGTTATATGGAGGCTATACGAAGACGTGGACCTACATGGCCCATTTACGAACTTGCAAAATAAACATTTGTGCAAAATTTTAGCCTTCTATCTCAATTCGTTCAAAAGATAGCGTGATTACAACAGATAGGCATACAGACAGAGAGTCGGAAATCGACTTAGAACTTTTCGCTGATCAAGAATATATATATATATATATATATATATATATATATATATATATATATATATATATATATATATATATATATATATATATATATATATATATATATATATATATATATATATATATATATATATATATATATATATATATATATATACTTATATATATATATATATATATATATATATATATATATATATATATATATATATACTTTGTTGTGTCTGACATGAGTATTTCGAGGAGTTACAAACGGAATGCCAAATATTAATATTAACATACCCTCCATAGTATGGTGGAAGAGATAAAAACACATTTTAGGTTAAAGCCATGCTTTTTGTGAGTGAGAACTTAGTGCATTTTAATAATTTTGATACACTTGTACGAATTTCTAAAACCCCTTTGGTTTTATATCGTACACAACATGAAATACCCTCATTCCAAATTTCAGATTTCAAGCTCTATCCTTTCCCAAATACTAAATTTCGTTTTTTAGAACGTCTTTATAAATCCATCTTCAAAAGTCAACCCAAAAAGTGACCTTAATACTGAATTTCAGATTTCCAACATTTTTTCTATCCTCTTATACTAAATTTAGTACCACTTAGTACTTTCTTAGTACCTGTAACTTCAAATCTCAAAACTACACACTAATATTTCAGAATTCGTCCTCCATTCGGTTCCCCACATCCAAATTCTACCACATTTAGTACCGTTTTGCACATTTCTTTCACTTAGTACACATTTCCAAAACCACCTCCTTATATCAACCCTACTTTCCCAACTTAATTCGTATACCAAATGTCAAGATTTTAGTTCTATCCGTTCACATAGTACCAAATGGTACCAAATTTAGTACGTTCTTCTATCTGTCTTGGCCACCTATGACCTGTATATCCCACTTAATTTTATATATATTTTATTTTGAACTTAAGTCAGAATTTCCTAACTTTTATGTTGTCAAAATACATTTTTTTAAATGGGGCATCGATCATTTAGCTGTGAACCGTTTTTATCGGCCAGTATAACAGCATTAAATGAAATTCTTGTACTGATAAAAAATTATTATATTCTGAGTCACATCAGTTATGTTTAGTATTTTTACACACTCAAAACAATGGATACATTGTTGCCTTACTCTTACGATTTCTTTTAAATTGATGACCCAAAACTGTTGGATTTTTTGACCGAAATAGTGATGATGCCACACAGTTATAAAAGCAAGTAAAACTAATGTGTGAAAAGTGGTCCGAGTATAGAAGGGACCATCTCAATTAGTAAAAAGCTGTATGTTCGGCCGGACCGAACTTTGAATACCCTCCATCACTTGCAACGAATTTGGGAATTCTCATAAACAATAAATATTAAAAACCCTTAAAAATACCTAATGTAGCTGTGATATTAGGGTCTATACGACGACATGGACCTGCGTAGGTAACATTTGCAATGGCTTATTGCAATATTGAAATGCGAAACTTAAAAAAAATCGAATATCGGAAGGTACCGTTGTATGAGGGCTATAAGAAGACGTGGACCTGCACAAACAATTTTCTGTATTAGGCTGTAGTATCCATTACGAACTTCAAATACCAAATTTGAAACAATTCCGGTGAAAAATGACGCTAAAATCATTAAAATACCGAATATCGGGAGGTACCGTTATATGAGGGCTCTACGAAGACGAAATGTATTTGAGGGAACTTTATGTCGACTTTCCAGCAATGGAGGGACCTATTTAAAGATAAAAACGTGCGGAAAGGCCGAACATCAGGTAGGGCCGACTATATAATACCTATATTTATTATCCTCATAGAATCGCTTTCGGAATCAATTTATGTATGTCCGTACGTCTGTCTGTCTGTCCATATATTTTTGTGAACAAAATGTAAGTCGCATTTATTATCCGGTTGAGATGAAATTTTCCAAACAACTTTTGTTTGGCCCAAGGACGAACCCTATTGGTGAGGATCGAAACAAATTTAGAATAGCTCGCAAATATAAATCAAATTTGGTGAAAATTGGTTCAGATGTAGCTATAGCTCCCATATATGTATATGTGCCATTCAATTTGGTGTTTAAGTCCTTCCAATGATATATGGTACCAGATATCAGATACAGCCCAGCAATATCTGTTTCAAATTTCATCAAGATCGGTACAGGTTTGGATATAGCTCCCGCATATATCTTTATCCGATTTCATGTTCATTGTACACCAAAAGGCTAATATCAGCCCAAATGGAGTGAATTGTGGCACTTCCGACCTAAGTGCCAAGATATAGCTATAGCCTAAAACCACAATACGCAATCTGAACCGATCTCGATAAAAGTTAGCAAAGATATTTCTGAGCTGTATTTGACTTATTTCTTCAAATATTGTTGTTACAGAGTGCATATTACGGCTGCAGAGGACAATAATAACAAATCTTATGAACAATATATTTGGCAGCTATAGCTATATCACAAGAATACATGGACATACGGGCGGACGGACAGACGGACTGACATGCATAAATCAACTCAGAAAGTGATTCTATGGAGTTCCTCAAAAGTAACTATGGGTCTATCTCGTTTCCTTTTGCCTGTTACAAACTAATGCACCAAGCCATAATACCCTTACCACTATGTGGTGTAGGGTATAAAAAGTTTCGTAGTTGATCTATTATCGCCGTCATTTGTTACTGGTAGCACTTCTATGTATGCATAGAGTTGTAGGGTACCATATAGTCGGCCCGCCAGACTTTTCACCTTTCTTTACTGGTTTAGAATCAGTTTAGTTCTACTATGAGCACAATAAGGAATGAAAATTTTAGAGTCCCTTTTTGACTTCTTCTCAATTATTTCCTTGTTTGTATTTTTCTCTGTTATATCCTCTGCAATTGTTGCATTCTGCATTCCTTAAGAGTGTATATGACACACTAAGACTCTAGTACAGAGTGGCATTTTTTTCTAGTTTCTTTAGTATTGAAATACCGTTCTGTTTGTGCCATACCCTCCTCCATACTATTAAGGGTATATGAAGTCTATAATTCCTCTCCTCGAAAAAAGCATTTAAGGCCCCATAATTATATGTATTATAGGACAGGAAAAAAACGATTCGAAAAATCTGTCTCTTTGCCCATCTGTGGAAAACCTACCTCCGAAAATCTCTCTCGAATTCGAGTAAATAGTGAAACTGGCTCGTTGTTTCGAGTATAATTTTGTGTATAATTTAA